GCTTCAGTGCTACAAAGTGGGCATACTTTGTTAATCGATCAACGACCACCATGATGACAGTGTGTCCATTGGACGGTGGTAATCCTTCAATAAAATCCATGGAAACATCCGTCCACATGCGATCAGGGATAGGTAATGGTTGAAGTAACCCGGCAGGCTTCATACAATCCGTTTTGTACCGTTGGCAAATGTCACATTTTTGCAAAAACTCTTTTACTGTTCGGCGCATATTAGACCAAATGAAGCTGTGCTTGACACGTGAGAGAGTTTTATGGAATCCAAAATGCCCACCAACTGGAGATGAATGGCAATCAGCAAGTATAGCTGGAATTAAAGTTGAGGTGGGGCCCAATAAAACTTTGTCTCCTTTAAACCACACGCCATCTCGTTGGAGCAACTTGTGTTTGGACTGAGAGGGACTTAATTTTTTTAATTCCCCATAAAATGAGTTGTGTTGGACTTCCTTTTGGAGCATTGGCCACCAATCTGCATGTGGAATAGAAATGGATAAAAATTGAAATTCAACCACACGTGATAAAGAATCTGCACCTTGATTTTCAGGTCCTTTTTTATATTCAATTAAGTAGTCGTAACTGAGGATTTTTGGGAGCCATCGAGTTTGTGCCGGTGTAGTAATTCGTTGCTCCAATAAGTACTTGAGACTTTTTTGATCGGTGCGTACCGTAAATGGTTTCCCAAGCAAATATGGACGCCATTTCTTGATTGCCTTGACGATAGCCAACATTTCTTTCTCATAGGTGGACAATGCCAAGGCCGAACCTTTCAGTGCTTCGCTGAAGTACGCCACTGGTTGATTTTGTTGGGTAAGAATTGCACCAAGTCCGATCCCGCTGGCATCACATTCAATCACGAATCGTTGAGTAAAATCGGGAAGGCGCAAAACGGGTGGTGACGTCAATGCTTCTCTTAATTGTTGGAAGGCCGTCTCTGCTTCCTCATGCCATTGAAATCCATTTTTGCCCAAGAGACGGCTCAGGGGAGCTGCTATACCTCCGAAATGACGGATAAATTTTCGGTAGTAGCCTGCTAACCCGAGGAACCCACGGACCCCTTTTGCTGTTGTTGGTTTTGGCCACTCAAGGACAGCTTGTATTTTGGTTGGATCAACTGATACCCCATGCTCTGAAATTATGTGACCCAAGTAATCAATCTGCAAAACTCCAAATCGACATTTTGACTCTTTTGCAAATAAACTGTTAGTGGACAGGATTTGCAGAACAATTTGCAAATGTGTGAGATGTTCTTCCCATGATTTCGAATACGCTAGAATGTCGTCAAAGAAAACCAAAATAAATTTTCGAAGATAGGGACGGAAGAGATCGTTCATGAGACTTTGGAAGGTTGCTGGTGCGTTAGTGAGGCCAAATGGCATCACAATAAACTCGTAATGTCCTTCATGTGTCCGAAATGCAGTTTTAGGAATGTCATCTTCTTGCACACGGATTTGATGATAGCCCGACCGTAAATCCAATTTGGAGTAAAATTTGGCGCCATGGAGCTCATCTAATAGTTCATCGATGATAGGAATTGGATACTTATCTTTAATCGTGATGTCATTTAGAGCTCAATAATCCACACAAAAGCGCCAAGTTCCATCGGCCTTCTTTACTAGTAGAACGGGGGACGAGAAAGGGCTGTGGCTTGGCCTTATCAAACCCGATTGTAAAAGCTCCTTTACCATCTTCTCTATCTCAGCTTTCTGGTAATAGGGGTATCGGTATGGCCTCACACTCACTGATCCTGCGGTCGGCTGCAATGGAATATGATGGTCATGTGACCTTCTTGGAGGCAAGCTGGTAGGGGCTTCAAATACTTGAGAGAATTTAGCTAGGAGTTGGCCCATCTCAGGTGGGTAGGAATGTAGTTGGATGCTATTATTGGAAGGAATGATTTGAAAAAATAGCCCAGTGCTTTGTAATCCATTGAATTGTTTATCAGTTAAGGCCTCAATGCCTGTACGTCCCAATCCTTGGAAGGTGTGGGAAGTTCCTGCGACATTAAATTTCATGGTTAGCTTCTTGTAGTCTGTCTCAACGGGTCCGAGAGTTGCAAGCCATTGTACTCCCAATACCAACTGACATGTTGCAACAGGAAGAATGTAGTAGTCGGTGGTGATGGACAGTCCTTGAATGGTGAGGGTGAGTGCCCGACATTGTCCAGCACATTCTATCTTCTCCCGATTAGCAACCATGACTTGGAATTTCTTATCCCGAATTATTGGTAACCCAAACTTGGAGACGATAGCCTGGTCAATGAAGTTGTGAGTGCTGCCTCCGTCTATTAGCACCGTTACATTCTTATTTTTCAACTTACCAAAGACACGTATGGTTTGTGGGTGTTCAGTACCTGCAATTGCATGAAAGGAAATTTCAGGTATAGCTTCATGATGCTCTAATTCTGGTTGATCGTCTTCGACGTCCTCGATGTTCGTATGTGGTGAATCTTCGATCATAAATAATTGCGGTCTTTTGCAACGATGGCCTGGAACGAACTTCTTGTCACAATAATAGCATAACCCCTTCTCTCGACGTTCTCGTGCTTTTTGATTGGTGATTCGCCGAAATGTGGTTGAAGGAGTATTTGAATTTGGATTGCCACGTTGATTCGGTGGAGGGCCTAGCACACCATCAGTTGGCTTGGTGTTTGGCTTTGGGGCCATAAAAGTGGGGTGGACACGAGGTGGCTGGCTTGTTTTCTTTTGTAATTGATTTTGTTCCTCAATTAGTCGGGCGACCCCTATCGTATTAGCCAAGGTGTTGGGTTGTTTAATTTTGATGTCTAAGCGAATGTCATCTCGAAGTCCTGCAATGAAGGAACCAATGAGAAAGTTTTCAGGTAGGCCATCAACCCGGTGGGAAAGCTTTTCAAAGGCTTCCTGATATTCTGCCACGGTTGTAGTTTGCCTAAGCCGAGTTAAAGCTTCGGATGGATCCTCATAATCTGTTGGCCCAAAACGAAGGAGGACTGCCTTGGTGAATTCGTCCCAATTCTGGGGTCCACGGAATTTCATGAACCATCGGTGCCATTGTAGGGCTATGCCTTCTAAATGAAAGGAGGCTAACTGAACTCGTTGATCAACACTGATGTTGTTAAATTCAAAATATTGCTCTGCTTTGTAAATCCATCCAGTCGGGTCTTCTCCGTTGAATGTTGGAAAGTGTAGCTTGAGGTGGTGGTGAGGGCCGTTTGGGGTATGGGGCCTTATGGTGTTTGTGGGATGTGATGTTTCTCCTTGGTAGAAAGGGTTAATTTCAGGTTGGGGGGCTGGGTTAGGGTGAGAGACTCGTAAGGCCTGTAACTCAGTGAATACTGATTGCAAGGCAGCATTGATTTGATCCAAGCTGGACTCATGTCGAGCCAATGCTTCATTCATATCATTGCGAAATTCGGCATTAGTTTTGCCACGAGTGTCCATTGTCGGAACCGTGCTCTGATACCAATGATACGTTTAGAATTTATTCAGAGAAGAAATGGGGAAGCTAACAGAGAATAGTTAGGAAGATGAATACTGAACTGTTAATGCCTTTCATTATTGAAGACGACTAGGCTATTTATAGTAGCCTTACAGTGCGAAGGAATAACAAATAATACTGAAAATAAGGAAACAAAACTTATCCTACCAAAGCTGAAACAGAATTAATTAAATGGAACAAACTAACAGAATAAAATAGACTAAGTCTTCCCCACGTGTCTACTTCAGATGTTAACAGCAAATATTGGAATCAGTGGGTCGCATGGCTTGCATGGCTTTCATTGCTAGGCTTTGTGAATGGTGGACACGTATCACATCTCAGCCATTGATTCAAAATATGGGAAATCCATGAAGAGAGAGGTTATTTCATTCTTTTCAATCAATAAGGGCAGATTTACTGAGATAAATAAACTTCAATTGATTGCATGCTTCTGATCCAAGATCTCGTGGAGATTGTTTCGACGACGAACCAAGTTGCTCTGTCGAAATTGTGGAAACTACATTGGGTCAAGTCTAATTCAACAACTGGGATATAATCTCTGCTTGTAGAACCTATGATATCAAGATTTGTTCTTGAAGGCCATTAACCTCTGAGGAATCCAGCGTCTTTATCTGACCTTGACTCTGAGGGAGACCTGTTATGCTATCTAACTTGTTGTGAAGCAAAGAAAAGGAGCAAGAACTACAGGTTTACCATAGATTGATCAACATTTATTATTGACTTGTGAGCGTTTCTTTCAGCTAATATTCTCAACATGCTTCGGTAGGAGCCTGGATTTCGCGGCAAGAACTTCTGAATGAAGTGCTTCTTTTGTTTGTATACCTAATTCTTGTACACCTCGAGTCATATGGTATCGCCATTAGAATCCAGGTCTAGGTGTCAGGTTCTTTCTATCTGTCATCTGTTACTTGTGGAAGCCATTCTGCAAATTAGTTGTGGTCTTCTCTACATTGTACTTGAGGATTTGTTACTACCATCCTATATTGAAACCTTTTGTGGACAGTTCATTATAGTTTATTGCTACTTCCTGCTGTATTTGTTAAATGCTTATGGAATTTAGTTTTCAGATGTTATTTTTATTATGCCCTTTGATTTGAGCACTTGGCTTACTCATTATTTAGTGCTAAATATTCGTTCTTGATTCTAATTAAACTTGAAACTTCAGACTCATGTTTATACTAGTTGAGAAACATTTGACAATTAGAGTATTAACAGCTAAATCTTCATTTGTAGCTTAATTTTTTCATGTCCTTAAATTTAATTTTTCCTCCTTTTGTTCAATAGAATTTTACCAATATTTGGCCAACAATTATCACATTATTCAAAACCCAATATTTTTTTGCAATTTGTATCCCTTCTTTGGTGGCCAAACCTCTAGAAGCTAATAAAATACTCACTTATTGCATATTTGGTAAAATGCATTAGACCGTACTCACAATATTACATCAATATACCTTTGAATTCTGTCTAGTACAGTTTACGGAAAGCACGATTACATTATATTGATCATAGTTGGTCGCACTTTGTTGGAATAAATGACAGTGTCTCCTTCTGTAGATCATGAAGCACTAACATATTCTGCTGCTGAGTGTTTCCAAAAATGGACATTCCGCTTGAACTTCCCATTGTCAAACATGCAACTCCCAAATCAGAATCAGCAATTATGTAATTCTCCCCCGGCAAATCCAAATCCGCCCCAGCAAAATGGAAAACTAGTTTTGGAACCTCAATGTCATTTGCATTAGATGGCAAGACGAAGCAAAGTTCAAGGCCGGTTGCTCCGGATTCGTCGGCCGGGAGTTTCATTTGAGAAGTGAATTCTTGTTTAAGCAGATCAAAAGCACTTTCTTCTAAATAAGTAATTGTGGTGCCCGAGTCTATGATCATCCCACCACTCCCGTCTGAATTGAGTGCAAAAGTAGACTTCTTGATAGGCAATAGGGTATCACCAACTGTAATCCCTTCAAGGGAAAGATAGTAAAAAGAGGGCTGTGATGGATTCTTGATTAAAGGGGTGGTTTTGATTGAATTCCCTGGGGCATTTACTCCAGCTAGTGATCCCATCAAAAGTGTACTAGTCTTTTTAGCATCAATTGGGGTTAGACAGTACGAGAATTTGGGTTCATCAAGTTGTGAAACAAGTGACAATGGTCCGCGCCCTAGGCCCACCAACCCTGCCCCTTGACTGAACCCACTTCCTTCGTTTTCTATCCCACATCCAAATGCAACATTAGGTATCGAAACTTTGTCGAACACGAATGTTTCGGTAGCCATAATGCCTTGAGTCGAGGAGTAATCGCCATACGTGTATAGATACTCACACCCATCACTACAAGTTGACGAAGGAAGCGCCTCACAAAGCGTGCTAGAACACGACAACTTAGAAAAAGATGACGATTTCTTGGGATCAAAAATCGGCGTAGATTGATCAAAACACTGCTTACAAGGCTTACACTGAGTCCATATCAGATCACTTCCAGTATCCATAATAGCATTATAAGACCCTGCGGGAGAACCAATTGCCAATTGCATAAGAAACTCACCATTTCCTGCATGAATTGGGGTTTCAACACTAGAATCTGATTCTGCTAAGGCCATTATACTTAGCCTTTCCATCCTCTTTCTCCCACGTTTCATGGCGCGTTGTAAAAGCTCGAATCTGGTGAAGTTTCCTGCCAAATCGACGTGCTTAAGGCTTATTTGGAAGCCCTTTTGAACTTTAGGGTGATCAAGTGCATTTCTAGATGTAGAATAAGCTGGTGAAACAAATAAAAATGCAATAAAAAGTGCGAAAAACATAGTTGAAGGCAACATAGGATACAACGCAGAAGACATTGGGATCAGGAATATCCGAATGGACAAGGATTTTACTATGTTGTTGGATAGTATATATAGGATTTAGAGAAAGAAAAGGTCTTGTGGTGGACAATAAGATGCATCAAATGTTCCAAAAATTAGGGATCATATGGTATGTGATATGTATATAGGGATAGTACTTGGTGAATTTACAGAATAGATGGCTATGGATTCAAATAAACTATTTCAACAACTTAGGAAGGTGCCATATCACCATTATGTCCTCGTCATAGCGTGGGGTGGGGTAGAAGAGATGGTATAGAGCTACAAGATAGGGACACAAATTTCAAGCCTAAACTCATTTCATATATTTATTTTAAGCTTTATATGATGATTTTTTAACTTTCCATATATAGAAAATAAATAGAAAGAGATAGACTAGTAAAGTAAAATGGATCATATGTATATAATTGAGAGTGTAGAATAAGAATTTATTTAAAATAATAAAATTAATTTTCATTATATTGGAGTTTACAATATAATATATTCATGATTGAATGAGAAATCAATTTATTTTCTCACCACCTTTTATGCCATATTCGATATATTATAATTGAGAGGATAAGAAAAGACGCGACAAAAGGATGAATAAAATTTTAACTTTTTTCTTTGCTAATATTGTGAATACTATATAGTTGGTGGGATAACTCGTTTACTATTCATGCTCCATTGTAAACAAGGTCATAATTTGTTTGTTCTTCACGCTTTCTACAAAAAGAAGCTACTTTGATGGTTGGATTTGGTAATTAGGTTTGAAGCAATATGAAAACAATATTTTAACTACACCTTAATCCTTCTTAGCTATTTCTTATGGTTGGGCTATATTTTTCAATTCATGCAAGTCGATTATCGAAAAACGTGAATCACAATATACATTTCTTTAAGAACGTTATTGACAAGAATGCGCTCTAACAAATTATAGGGTCGGGAGCAATTGATTTTGTTGGTATAGTAGATATGACTTTCACATCACTGTTATAAGTATCTCGCGTTTTTAAGATGACTAAATAATCGTTTAAACACTTTTGTACCGTGATCAAACACTATCTTGGAAAAGAATCACGACAAGTCGACAACTTAGAATTATTAAATTTGTTAAGAGTGGTGTAATTGCCCAACACGCAGACTGAGAATGGACACAAGGATCTATGGTGGAAGTGAGCTTTAGCGTGAGGAAGGCAAATCATCATTTTCATGCCAAGTTGATGGGAACCATGTAACTGTCAACTTGAGCTTGAGGTTGGATTTAATATACTAACAAATTATACATATTCTCTACGTTTTTTGTACTTTCAAATTCGTTTTTTAGTTATTTGACAGAGATTTCAATCCAACCTCCATTTGAATAAAGAATAATGATGATCATAACTCACTCTAGATGAACAAGATTACTCTCGAATAATGACTCTTGACACCATTCGAATTTTGGCAAAAGCACATGTATGTCAGCACACGATCAACAATTGTTAGATGGCGTGACGCTTGATAAAAGTATGTATGTATGGACATTGAACTTCGTCGTTTGCAAGCTCTGCCGGTCTGTCCTTTGGGGCACGATGTGCATGACAATGCATTGTCTGCAATTGTGTGATCGTTGCACTGCAAATGGCATATTCCAGAACTGGTATGGACGTTTTAGAAACACAGTGACAACAATATTTAATTCTAAACAAATCAGACATTAAAATAGTACTAACCAATGACCTAACAAATATCAACATATAGATTAAGAAATCGCTATCATATCAATGGATATCATCTCGTGACTTATGTTGAATTTGTAAGTCAAATCACTAGCAATTTCATAAAACATACTTTTTGGTTGTCAAACATTCCTCCTTTAGCTATCTAATACAGTCTCTTCAAGTCAGATAAAGAAGTAGAGTAGAACTTTTGGACATGTAACAATCACCATGACTTTGAGAAGCTAAATTTGAAAACTATAACATATATCTATACATACTTTCAAATTCAATTTTCAGTTACTTTATAGAGTTTATATTCTTGTCGAAATTCTCAGCGGATAATGCCTTCATATTGAGAAAAAAAAATATATCGTTAGTTATTAGATCATAGAACAAGCATGGACATTAGATCGTAACATAATTCAATGTATTTGGTTTAGTGGTGTATATTGAATTATCACGTCGCTTACAACTTCTTAAAGAATAATGTGATTTATAAGCCGTGCTGAGGGTCAGCTTTTAATGTGACATTGAGATCATTATCATGAATTAAAATGCATTTCAATTTTATAAAAGAATGTGACATTTATTCTCACCGTAAATAGTTTTTACAAATAACATTACTCAGTTCTTAAAACCTACGTCTCTATTTTTAAAATAAAATAAGTAACCTTACTTTCCTCTTTTAGCCTATCTAATACACTACCTTAAAGTTAGATAAACTGGTAGAGTAGAACTTTTGGGCACAAGCTCTCCACCTAATAGATTAATAGAACTTCTCCCTTACTCTCCCTACCCTACCCCACCCCATCTCAACCCCAATCCAAACAAAGGATCAAAGTCTCTTCTTTACTCAACCCTCATCAACTGTAAAGATGCTATCATTATTTTATGTTGCTAATACTTTAAGATTGCTTCTTTCCACCAAAATGTTAAATGGCAACATTTATTCTTCTCTTGATAAGGAAATTTCTATCACAATTACATATATATATTGAAATGAAAAGGAAAGGACAGAAAATAAGAAGAAAATTATTCAGATTTGAATTACTTATTTGTGATCTGTTGTTATCTTTCAAATTTCAAATCATTTAAAAGTAAATCTCAAGAATCAATTTCTATAGCAGATAAGAGATACTTCTATGCTTAGTGCAATTTTAATTGAAATTATAGTTTTATCTTATATTTTAATATATTCGCATCGTTCATAAAATAAATTAAAAAAAAATTGTTGGGTCGTAAGTAAAAAAATTGATTAATTTATCTTGAGAGAAAAAAAGTCAACATATAAAAAAATATCGATTTATTAATAACAGATAATTAAGGTAAAATAGGCTAATAATTACGAATTCACAATCGTGGTGCCTTGTGTGATTTGATTAAACTCAATCACTTGCTTGTTTTAGTAGATAAGTAGATATAGTTAGGATCAACTCAATCATTATTAATTGGGTATATTTTTTCATTAGGGTTAGTTTTAATCAAAATAAAATATATAGATAATTAGTCCTTGTGGGTCATCACTCAACTCAGATTACTTTTTTAAATTCTGACCACTTGTGGGATAAAATGACAACATGCGGGCTGTACTAATCTTCTCTTATCAATCCAATTTTATTAAATGTCAATTATGTTAGGTGAAAGCGAGATTAAGAAATATAAAAATAATAACAAGAACATAAGATTTACGTGAAAATCCAAGATGAGAAAAAATCACAGACAGANGAGAAAAAATCACAGACAGAGAAGAAAAAAAATCACTCTATCAAATATGATTACAAGAGTGCGGCTACTCCAAATGATCATATGATATGATGGAACCTTAATATACATCATATATATAATAACGAGTTCATACTCTCGGCTCGATCCCTCTTCGACAACCACAAACCCCTACTTTTTTTCATAATTTTAGTTTCACCACATATATTGCACCGCGAGCTTTTTCGGGTCACCGTATTCTAACAAGAATCCAGATTAACTCTGAAATTTTTGTTGTAAGATATTCATTTGGCCTTAATTTTCTGTTTTACAATATCACTAATAATTCCCAAATGTACTGATAACATTACTGACAGAATCCATCAGTAATTCTTAAAATTACAGATGAATTCAGCAGTTAAGTAACATAGTCAGTATATTTAGAGTAGATACAAAATAAATGGTGCAAGTATCGTTCAATTAGATCGCTGGAACTTTAATCGAGCATTAGCAGAGGTCCTGTGTGGACTGTGTTAGAAAATAGAGAAGGGATTATAGATTCAAATGCTTTAATCAAATCCCTTTCTTATATAAATCCTAAAATTCATACTCCATGTTGAAACTAAAGAAAATAATAAAAATACAAACATACTTTGATCCATGATGTTTGATTGTTTGTCTGAATGACTACGATCTTTCAATTGATTGATGGTCTTCTCTTGATTTTCACTCTCTGTTGATGGGGATGTAGAGAATCTAAAGAACACTCAACAATTTGGGGACCATAACCTAATATAATAATAATAATAATAATAATTGAAGAGTCATTATTTTTCAATTGTTTCAAATTGACTCCTCATTAATCTAAAACAAACTTTCGGTTTGTACACTATATTTCTATGAAACATAATATCCATTAGTCAAAATACAGTTTTAACAGATAACTTTAATTGACTAATATTCTTTAAATAATAGCACTACACATTTTAATATATCACGTGTGGCCTCATATATGTTAGAATTTTTCAACAATCTTCCACTGTGCCATATGTGTAATTTTCAAATGTGCACAAGCTTATAAGCTCAAAATTTTACTGTTATGATTATGGATATTACTAAACAATCTCATCCATTAGTCATATTGATTTAGGATCAAAGCGATTTTCATCACATTTAAAGTGACTAAATCCATCAATGATCACATACGCTATACAACCAAATGATATAGATCAATCTTGAGAGTGTAACATGAAAATTACATTTTATGTGATCCAAACATGTTTATTTTCAACTAGTTTAACTTTATTTCTTTAGTGAGATCAATACTGAACATAATAACATAGTGAAATGAACTGAATACTTTATTTCTGTACAGAATAATATCCAAAGACACAAATATGTCAAAAAACATAAAGTAATGAAAATACAAACTCCCACTAAAACATGATATCCTCATGATATACAACACTTATATGAGCAGTGTACTCATGAAAGATCTTGAGTGTTAATCTCTTAGTAAGTGAATCCTTAATCATGGAGTTTGTCCCAATGCGCTCTATGGAAATCTGTCCATTCTGTACTCTTTCCTTCGCA